TAATTCCAAAGGTCTTTTGGGTTTATTTATTTGCATCTTCCTGGAGTGCTCTTTTCACAGTGAAGGTGTAGGCCAAAACTGAATACTTCTCTGTGTGTGTGCATACATGTGTGGAGAGAAAAGCAAAACCCAAATGCAGCAAAGAGTAGCCAATAACAAAGTTTTTGCTTCCAGAAAGAAAACTAGTGGGGTGGACTCCATCGCAGAAACTCTTCAAGGAGAACGAACCACTGGAAAACTCTTCTAGGAAGGAAAAATCCCCAGGAGAATTGAAAGTTTCCTCCGCTACAGGAGCCTACACATAAGAGGTATTTCACATCTAATTGATAATCATGATAATTTATATCATTTATCATGATATAGTATTTAAACTACAGTAATTGCTATTTGATCAGTATCTTAACCATGCAGGCTGGGTGCAAACATTAAATCCTAGGTGCAGGTCACATACCTATGGAAAAACGACTCAGAGAGGGTATTTCTCTTTGAAACAAAGCGCCTGGGCACCTTCAGCGCCAAATATTATTCCCTAAACCCCTCACCCCGCAAAGTGTAATATAATACTACCAGTAACTAAAGCCTGTCTTCCTTGTCAGCGCGGGATGGAACAAGAAAAGCTGAGAGCGGCGCCTACGCCGCTGTCACGCAGCTGCTCCCCAAGGCTTCTCCAGCCGGGACAGATCCCGGGCACTGGGCACGGAGCTCCTGCTGCTCCGCTGCAGCCGTCCGCGCGCGGCCGGGAGCCGTGTCCTTACTGCAGGTGTCCCTCCACACCCAAAGAAACTGGCCTGCAAACTTCGAAATACAAATCGAGCCAAAAGCATTAAGAAAAAACATATACACAGAAATTTCAGGGGCAATAGCAGTGTGACCAATTAAGCTTAGGTTCCAACAAGTGCTAGTCTTCCCCAAGAAAAAAAAATTATATAGTGATGCTCCTGTCTACAAAACAGGAGAGTTTATGATAGAGTTGTATGGATATTTGATTTTTTTTTTGTTTATGACATGCGTGCAAGCTTGGGAAAACAGGAGAGTTTATGATAGAGTTAAATGGATATTAGATTTTTGTTTGTTTGTTTGTTTATGACATGCGTGCAAGCTTGGAATATTATTTGTAATAAATAAAAACAGGGATGCTGGAAGAGGATCAAAGAGATTACAAGTGTTCCCACCTCTGGACACCAGCAGTAGGAAACCCCGGTTGCTTCTCCTCCCACACACTTTTTATGGTGTAGTTTCATGTACGTAAGGCAAAAAATAAGGGAAAAACAAAACAGAAAATAATAAAAAAAAATACACAAAGAATAGGACTGCACTGTTGACAGAGCACAGAAGGTGAAGAAAATTCAAAATACTTTGCAAAAACTCAGAAATAAGAAAAAATAAAAGGAAAATCTCATTTGTCTACAGCACTTTGAGTGCATGTTCAGATACATGTGTACGCACATACAAAAATATATTAATTACAGCAGGCTGGCATGCAGTACACACACGTTAGTGGTACTAGGGAAGACAGACTCTTATTTCTCTGCAAAAATGGAAAACAAAGATTATTTCTGTTAGCTCCACTTTGTGTCTTGAAGGCATTCAGCACTACTGAGTGAAATTAGCAGTTTTACTATCTTGTACACTTCTTGGGCTTAAACTTTTTACGTGCTGTCACCTTGCATAAAAGATTCCTCACCTTTGAAATTTGCAGGTATCTGTGATTTCAAAAATACCCCATATTTTAGGGAGGGGCGAGAGAAAGAGTTAAGAGCCCTGTCTGATGATGCTGGTGCTTGATGCACAGCACCTCTCTCCTGCACTTTGCAACACTGCTGGGTTTCCACAGGGATGCTCTTCGAGCAAAATCAATCTCTCTGCTTCGTTATCAGCTGTGCAAAAACGGTGCTGTGATTGGGAAACACAACTGCCTCAGCACACACCTTTGTAATGTCCTGTTTTCCAATGTTGTGCTTTACTGGCTGCATGAGTCACCTTAGCAAAGGTGACAAAATTTCAGCAGTGGCAGCTGCAAAGAGTACCTCTAAGACCTCAAAGTTAATTAAACAGACAGTTTAAAGGTAACTATGAGAAACTTAAACATCAAAGCTCAAGAAAAAAAAAATCTGCTGGCATGACCAGTTAAAAGAATAATGCACAATGCTCCATTACCGAGAGAAACAAAAAGCAATTTAATGCTAATCAATCACAAGAGAGGTGTCACGGACCGCTGAGTGAGAAACTGCGCAGGGCAGATCAAATCAGGCACGGCGTTAGCAAGTCCTCACGCTGAACAAAGACATCAGGACATTTCCTAAAAGCACTTCTAAAAGTTGTTCTATGGGAGGAAAGTCCATGTCCGCAGTGGGCATTCTTTTTTTGATAGATGTAATCGCTTTTTTTCCTTTAAATTCCAAGAGCAGGTGCTCCTGACACAAATGCAACGCAAAGGTAGGTACACTTACACACAATAAATATATGTGTCTAGGGCACCTGGGCGTTCTTTCAAGCAGCCTAACCACATACGCAGGTACTGACTCCTAGCTAGATAGGGAAGGCACCCACAGGTAGAAATTAGCAGGACTGTGTAATTGTACTTCGGTCTTGCTTAATCTTTGTTTTTCAGGCACTGACATTATTTATAGTTGTGGTAGGGTTTTTTTTTTTTAATTTATCTTCATTTGTAACAGTCTGCTGACACACACACAAAAACCACCATCACCATTATCTAGCTTATTTAAAAAAAAAAACAGAAGTAAAGAATAAATAAAATTTATTAAAGAGGAAATCGCTTTAGGATCATAGACAGTCTTGGAGTAAAAGTTTTCTAGAAGCCTCCTCTGCAATTCGGTCTTTCCTCCATGAGGGCAGCTATGTCCTCTCTCCGTAGCCCCGCAAAGACCCCGCAGTCAATGTTACCCTGCGCCTCTGCGCGGACA